ATGAGTTGACAATATGCAACTCATTTCGTAACACGGCTGTCTGGTCTTATTGCAGAGCGTCAGACAGAAACAAGCCGCAAACCAGATTGTGTTCCTCGAAACTCGTGTCTCTCTTGCACGTCTTCCTTCGCAGCAGATCAACAAGAAAAGCTGAAGTAAACAGTATCCTTTACATATATGTCTTAAATGGTGACTTTATCTGTAAAGGGGAACAAAGCTATTCCAAGCAGCCTGGTACTATGTTGAACTGATGTTGGTGATATCAGTTCTCCTTCAGGGCGTTCTTCGTGGCTATACGTTTTCTCTTGTGGCAGTCTCTTTGAGTTGTGTTTTATCAAAGCTTTGCACTCTGTTGTCTGCAGTGTGATCTGCCACTCACTGCACAACTTATAACAGATACGGTATGGGAATAACGTTGAAGCTTAAATGAAAATTAGCCATGTTTCCCTACAAAATGTAAACAATTTGTGGATTTTTCTGGTTGATATGTTCACTGACCAGGTTAAATCCGGCCAATAAGTCCTTTACCTGCATTTTGTGCATAACAGCGACACATGCTATAAATGCATTCAGACTGTGCCCATCATATGTTATTGATTTAAAGAGATTTAAATCATGTTCACTTGTTTTAATTGCTATTGCCACTGTGTTTCATATCTAAAGCAGCCATTGACTTTTCCATTTTCGAACATGGATGATTTAACTCTTCAATAGAAAAGGAGCACATAACCAAACCACTTTTTCTCTTCTTTCAGTTGTTAAAAGATAAACTTATTTAAGGAAGAAAGTTTCTGCAGGGTTTCAAATGAGGATGTTCTTAATGTGAGGCAAGTGCTCCATCCAGTGCGGCGTACCGCCCTGACGTTTGCAAAGTGTACAAAATGTACAACTACCTCAGAACTAGATTCACAAGTCTTATAAGATGAGGAGAAAGAAAACCCATCTTTTCCCCTGGTTTATCTCATTCTGACCAACAACTTGCATGAGTTTTCCTTTTGTTCTGAACAAGACTTAAGATGTTTCTAATGCCAAACAGATGTGGTTATATCCAGGAGTTTCCCTTCAGGCACAATGGAAGAAGTCAGCTTTAATCTCTTGATGATCCTGGGTTTTCATCAGTGGATGGATTCCTTACAGTCTTCACACACAAACATATTAAGAATACCTCCTTTTCAAGACATAACAAACTTTATTCAAGTTAGGTTATTACAAATCTGCGTGGATATTTGTTGACGAAAGACCATCAGAGCCCAGCTCTCCTCCCACTGGACTCAACATCCTCATCAGTGTTTGTGTACAAGATACTTCAGTCGAGATTCAACAAAACAAACCTGAGATTATCTACTTATGAAAACTAATGAGACCGCATTCCAGCGGCTCCACACTAAACTGATTTGTTTTCTGAATAAACACGGTGAAGCATTTGAACTATAGACATTATCAAACCAATCATTTTCTTGCAGGTGAATACAGAAGCCCTCTATGCTCTTGATTTTTTGCTTTCCACTAAATAAACTCTCCTGCTGTGGAGATGTCTCCAGTGCTTTCTGAATCTCAGGAATTTTGATGATCTGCTCGGCATTCGGTACCAATTAGAGGAGCTCTGGTCCATCACTCAAGATGTAAAACAGGAGACGGCTTGCAAAACAGGTCAGCAGATAAGCAAAGACATGAGTATCCAAGTTGAAGACTTTGTGAAAGTCCATGATGATTCTCTTGTTTAAGGGAAAAACAATATTCTGTTCAGCACAACAAGTATATCAACGAAAATAAAAGCAAAAGATCTCAAATGAAAATAAGCTGTAATCAAAAAGAATATGGAGCTCAGTGTTGTACATGTGAGCTTTGAGAGTCATTCCTTAGATTGGGTTTAGCTGTCTCTGTCTAACATGTAGAGATGATGGATATGCAAGCAGCTTCTCAAACTAAATTAGAAACTAATCTAAACAAAAAGGTGTTTTCACGTAAAAAATACCCAAAAACAGATCACTGCCGCCTTTTGAAAGTACATCTGCACTTACGTCTCCCAGCTTGTCGCAGCTCCTTAAGTATCAATGGCTTTATGCAGCAGCAGACATCCGGCTGAAACCGCAGTGACAGCGACCCGGTCCGGATCAGCTGGCCCCTCTTCCCCTTCCAGCATTATATTACTCTGGTGCTTTGCCCGTATGCTGTGTACTTTTGCCCTTGCCTGGTTTTCGGACCACAGTTTCTAATTTTAGTCGTGTAATTGTCCTGGCACACAAGGTGCTGGTGGGAGATCAAGTGTTTGGACAGAGCCGCAGAAAAGGCCGACGGTGAAACTGGGTCAAAGAAAGCAGCGTTTGACGGCTCATTTCGGGGATGGAGCAGTGCATGTGCGCACCTTATGCAGCGTGTTTTTGGATGGAAACAAACATGTCTACATGATGTCTGCTGAAATATAGGCTGGGGATGAATTTTGTTTCACTGTTTAGAAGATGTTTATTCCAAATGACACATTTTACCCAGCTCAATGATTTCAGAAGTTAACTAATAACACATTTTGCTTAAATTCCTATTGGTTGTTCTTTGAGGAGTTTTAAAACACAGAGATAAGCTTTACTTTGACTATGACTATGGTTTTTAGTGCATAAAAAGAGATGTTATAAGAACCTCACCTTCCAATTGAAATTTGTCAGCTGAACCAGGGTCAGTGGAGATGTGGCATCTGCTAAAAGACTTTGTCAAACAATCGTGGGCAAGGCACAAATTTAAGCACAAACCTTTTGAGAACAACACAAAAAGAAAATCAAAATGCCTTTATCAAGTATCTGTAAAACAAAAAAGAGCCATAATGATAGAGGAGCTGCAGTCAGTCAAGAGTTGTGTAAAAAAGAAAACCCAAAAGAAAACAACAAAAACACAACACTGCGGCTCTGAAAGAGAGAACACTGAAAGAAGAGAAAATCATGAAGGATGGCGTCATTGCACCCAAACCTTTCTTGTATGTTTTAGAATGACTGACTGAAGATGGCGATTCTATTGATTTTATTGTTTAATCTTAAAATATGTGCAAGAAGAAAATAAGTCTATCAAAAACAACCAATTATCTGATAGGGGTGTCATCACAGGAATGTTATTAGGGACATTTTGGACCAATCAATACAACTGCGAGTTAAAATATGTGCAGATTTTTACCATTTCTCTTCCAGTAAATTGTAAAAAACAACAACAAAAAAGCAAGTTTCCAAAACTCTCAGACTGTTTCAATCCTGTTAATCTAAAGCAGTGTTTGTATCCAGAAATATAAACTGTGTCACGTATAAGATCACAACAGGAGACAAATATTTAAAGTTATAACTTGTGCTGATCAAATACCTGATAATCATCACAACACTGCAAAAACACAAATATTTACCAATTATTTTTGGTCTGGTTTCTCATGGAAATATCTCAGAGAACTTAAAAAAAGACAAAACTAACTTAAAAGCAACTCCTTAGTAATATATAAAACCTTGTTTTAAGTAACTAAAACAAGCTTTTATGGTAAGATTTGGGGGTTTTGCAGTGAACAGTGTAAAAGTTTTAGATGGGACCCGCATTCCAAGGGCTCAAGCAGTTTAATTGTCTCACCCTGCCACCATATTCTGCAGGGGTCTGCTAATGACCCATTCATCAAAACAAATGTAATCAAGTGGGAAACCCACCTCTCTGGGAACAGAACTACTTTCTGCTGAGACATTTCCCTTCATCAGCTTAGCGCATTTAAATGAAGAGCCATTGGAGGTCTTGGACTAGGTCAGAGGACAAGATCATGGCTCATTTAATCAGATGGTTTTGAGCAACAAACATCTCGAAACATGCAGTACGTTTCGAACTCTTATCCTGCTACTTTCCATTTATGCACTGTTTGCAGTTATTACCGCCCTTGGCTTATTGTTATCTGTTTTTTTCCTTCTTGGGGAGTGTTTATCTGATTATCTGCCGAATATCTCATTCCTGAATGAAGCCACTGAGTGGAACTATTGATCCCATCACCACTGTGTTCTGTCTTCATTTATTTTTCTTATAGAAAGTATTCCTGGCCCTACGTCATTATGTAACAGTGTCGAAAACTAACTCTATCACAGCTTCCTCTAAGCCCTGGGAGTGACTTCAAAAGTTATCGCGCTCCACCGGCAACTGCATAAAACCCACTGAGGAAGGAGTTGCAGCAGTAAAACAGCGTGCAGCAAGCGACGACGTGCGGCCAAGGATTTACATGGTGCAGGAGTAGTTTTTAGCTCAGTGGGGTCTATTCTTGGAGCTCTTTCATGTTCTCCGCTGGTGCGGGGAGAGCTGGGTACAAGGGTCTACATTCTCACACTGACACCTGCTCTGGAGATTGAAATGCAACTGTGTTCATGTACCAACCGCTGCGGAAGTGGTTCAGGAGTCCTCTTTCAACTTCCTGTGCATCTATCATAACACGCACAATAGATAGATATAGATGGATGGATGGATGGATGGATGGATGGATGGATGGATGGATGGATGGATGGATGGATGGATGGATGGATGGATGGATGGATGGATGGATGGATGGATGGATGGATGGATGGATGGATGGATGGATGCCTAACACAGGGGCGTTTATTCCACATTGCTTAGGTATACAAATAATACATAGAAAACTCTTGGTTACAACTACAATAACTTTTTACCCCCCTCTATTGGCCCCCTCCCAGCCCTGCCACCCTGGGGAGAGAGCCCCTGCAAAAAAGACACCTGACGTCACTGCTCCCCCCCCCAAACACACACTGATGCGCCAGTCGCGTTCCGTTTGACCTTGTCAGCGTTTTTCGCTGCACCTACTACTGGACACAGGCTCGTCTAAACTAAACACGAGCATTTGTGGATTTGCGGGCCAAGAATCACCACTTTTTTTTTTCTTTTGGGCGTCCCGTCTGACGCACTCCACCACTCCGGGTCTCTAGTTGAGTCAGCTGTCTGCAGCACATCACATTGCGCGTTGCACGAGAAGCGTAACACACACTTACCCTCATGAAGTCAAATGCGTCACTGACCGGGGAAGGCAGAAAGAGAGGAAACAAAACACGTCATGCATGCGGTCGCCCCTCGATCAGCTGCAGAAACTCAGCGCTGCGTTATCACGCAGCTGGCACACATACGGTCTGCAGGGGGGGGCGAGTTCCGACTGGCCCAGATTCCGACAAAAAATAAAAGAAAAGAAAGAGAGAAAAAGAGAAAGAGAGAGAGAGAGAGACAAAAGCGCGGGGATTATATTTGTTGTAACCAAGCCGAGCAGGTGGTGGTGAAAACACGTCACCAGGTATTTTTTCTCTCAAAGAAAGTCAGTCCGTTCAGTCTGAAATCCCAGTCCCGTCCAAAGGGGAACGCAGGCCACTCTTTTAACATTGATTGCATTGATCAGCTGTCAAGAACTAAAGCGCCCAGAGGGAGAGGGCCCCCCCAGTCTGTCCTCAGTAAAACACAGCAGAGACAGCTGACGGAGACGCGCAAAACTCTGAAACAGCAGCTTTTCTGCTACAGTAACATGATGGGATGACGTCAGTCAGGTTGGGCAGCAGGCACAACTGCAGTGCAATTGAAGAAAAAAAAATTATAAAGAGGAGTGTTTTTTATTTGTTTGTTTTTTATGTTGGTATTTTAAACGCGTATTGCGCTAAATCTGTACACAGTTGAATCTCATTGACAGAATGAGGGCTGATAAATTTAGCAGTTTTCACTCAAAGTGCTTAGAGACCTAAAGTCAAGCAGAAATAGCATTCCTCTTATCTAACGACATGCACAAGGGACAGTTGTCAGTTTTGTTGTCCCTGTAATGAATTAATGTTCATTAATTCATTAAAAAGGCCTGGAGATTTGCCAACACGTTGCATTACTTAGATGAGTCCAATACTGAATTTGTTGGGGGGGAAAACTATGTATGGAGCAAGGGGAAGCACGGTGGTGGCAGCATCATGCTGTGGGGCTGTTTTCTTCAGCCAGGGCATCGAAGATGGATGGAGATGTCCTGTTAGAAACATCAGCATGACAACAACCGGGGCACCAGTGATTTTGGATCAAAGCCCACGCACGTGTTAGAATGGCCTAGTTAAAGATCTGGACTAAAATCCAATGGAGACTCTTCAGACATGCTCTCCATCCAATCTGACCGAGCTTAAATAAGAGTGGAATGGGCTAAAACTGCTGCACCTCCAAATGTGTGAAAGTCGGTGGAAACATTTCCCAGAAGGAGGATCAGAGTTCGGGGTCAGAGGTTAATGCAAATGTTTGCCACAGAGTTTTAATTTCATTTTTCATGTGACTGTTGTACCACATAAAAAGCATTGTTGAGGTTTGTGGGTGTAGGGTGTCAAACTACTACTTCAAAGCACTGTAAGCACTAATGCCTTTCACATAGTCAATAATTTTTTGAAGCATATGATGTTTGCCATTTTTTATTGGATTTTATAACATAAATTCATAGAAAAATAAAGATCGAGACAAAAAGTACTTTGAGGTTGTTCATTGAGGCTCTCGTTCGGCTACATTTTGCGACCTTGCAGCTCTCTCTATGTGATGTCAGCTCTGTACCAGTGTTCAATAACACTTTGCTTTTAATAGCTTTGCACCGTGAAGGGTTCAGCGTGTGATTTATTCATGACCAGATCAGCGGCAGGAATCAACCAATCAATTTTTTTTTGAACAAAACAAACTGCTTTCAAGTCCACATGTTGGGTTGTATCAATCAGATTTGTCAGGGGGGAAAACAAAAGCAGAACTCTCCATCCCTGTTTAGTGCCTCCTTTATTCACTCCCACTTTGAAACAGATGTGTGAGACCAGCAACGTTTACGGTTGCTCAACTCCGCCGAGTGTTTGTCTCCTGCGTCCACCAGATGTTTGTTGTCCTCCTCCATACGTTAAAAAAGAAAAAAAAAAAAGGAAGCAGAACCTCGTCTCTCACCGTCCACATCAGCATTCCACCTCGAATGCCCGGACTCCACCGGTCCAGTCCAGAGACGGCGCCGGGTGGGTTGGTGAATACCTCAAAGCCCGGTTATGCAACTGGAGGGATTGTGGGATTCCTGGAGTTGGCCGAGGTCCAGCTGCATTCCCTGTGGGTGCAAAGTGTCACTTTTCACACGTCCCACGCACACGGACGCACAAAGAAAAGCTGCCGACCCAAATCTTTCCCCCCGACCTCTGATGTGTTTAACACGGTCTGACCCACATAAAGAAAATCCCTATGTGGACTAACTTTCGCATAGTTTAAGTCACAGCAGATTAACCTCCTGACCCGATTTTGTCCAGAAAGGTAGAGATTTTGTCAAACAGGCGCGCTGAAGCTACAACTAACGTCCCACACAGAGGAGCATGATGTGACTGAACCAGATGTAAAGGAATCATCTGATCAGTTCTGAGTGGCTCCTCTGTGTAACAAAGTACCATGTGAGAAACTGCTCCCCAGAAATAAGGCTGGTTTCCTGGTGATCTTGATACTTGCATAACCAGATTAAGGGCAGTTAGTTTTAGGCCTTAGGGTCATGGAGGGCCAGTCGGCTTCTAAGCTGCCTTTTTGAAAAATCTGTCCGGCCTGAAGCAGTTGGCCAAACACTCAAGCTCCTCATTCAAATGTTTGGGATGCTGAAAACACCTGGAAGCAACCCAAGTTGTTTCCATGACCAAAATCACAAGCGGCTCTTCAAGGTCTGATTACTGCTGAGGTGTAAGGGAAAAATGCATTAGCAGTAAACACAAGACATGTACGATCAGAAATAAGTGACTGAAACTAAGATAGTGTGATTGCAGCTTCAGTAATAAATTATTTGCGCCACTACAAGTTTCATAACAACATATAATAGAAAGCATGTTAACTGAAAATAGCAACTTTTATTAAAAGTAAATCATAAGTTGTCAATATTAGAACATGACACTTATTTCTGACGGATCTGAAAACAGAAAAATGCCTACAATGCCCCCTAGTGGTTATGTTCAGCAATTGAAAACAAACAAGAAATTAACTTTTGACTTTTGAATGTCACAAACATTTTTGAAGCATTGACATGTAAGTTGTTCTATTTGCCTACTCTAGTTGCCTTTATTTTGTAAAATGATGCAAAGTTTTTTTTTGTTTTTTTCTCAAGGCATTGTACCTTTTTCTGAGACAGAGGAACAAACATATTTAACTGAGAAAGCTAACCAAAGTATTTTCTTTTTTTAAATAAATGATACAAATCTTTAAATAAAACTCACAGTATCTACATCAAATAGTCACTTTATGCAGCCATGGATTAAGTGCCAGAAAGATATTGGCTCCATGCAGTAGAGAATAAAAGTTGTTCTCCATCAATTACAAACAGTGCCAGTTACATTTGTGTTTGGTACGGTCTTACACCAAAGACTGAGCATGAAAAAGAATCAAACCCAACCACAGAAATAGTTTTAGTATAATGGAGAAACCATGCAATGGATACACACAGAAAATTAACATTTTAACACTATTTGTGGCTTATGATGGTATAAAAATATAATCAATTATACATAAATTATATTTTGAATTTACTATAATTTTCCCCCTCCATGTAAGGGAAGCACTGTGCTGCCATGACGCTGTAACATATTTCAGGATAACAGCCGACAGCTGACAGAAAACTCATATGGTGTAGCTACACTGAGCTGTTGTGTTGCATATTAATACACAATTTGATCACTATGTTGTGGTATGCAACCACTGCACATTATCAGTTCAGCTTTATTGCTATTTTAAGTTGATTTTGCCTTGAAAATCAACTTAAAATAGACAGTTGGGAGGATTTAACATGAGACATTTGGGCTGTTCTCGGCTGACGACGTTGAAGAAGCATCCATCCGGGGTCTTTGCTCGTCATCTTCGTTTGTCTTCCCACTTTTCTGTCTGAGCCTTTTCAAATAAAGGCTATACTGGAGCCATTAAAACTTAGAAAAACGGATTTATCAAATCGTGCATATGTTGCAAATCAAGCAAAAAGAACTGAGTAACTTTTGCTTTTTTGTTTGTTTAGTAATTGTACCGTAGAAAAGCAGAGCTCTCATTTGCCTTTTGTCCATGGACAAACTCCTTAACAATCACGCGGCAAAAAACTAAGAAGGAGGCTCTGTGGGAGGAGTCTACCTTTCCGAAAGCGCCAGTCAAAGCATGCAAATTTCATGACGTTTCAATGATCAAATGTCCAATCATAAAAAAACCTATCCATTCATTCAATCAACATTTCCTTTCACTCACACATTCACGCACTAAGGACAGTTCAGAAGGAGGAATACTTACCTTACCGCAATGTTTTAGAGTGTGGGGGAAACCGGAGTACCCGGAGGAAACCCACGCAAGCACAGGGAGTAACATGCAAACTCCATACATTCTGAAGGTCCTGAGCTGGTCTCGAACCCGGAACCTTCCGACTGCAAGGCATCAGGCTACGTGCTGTGCCACCGTGCTGCCCAGTATATTGCAGAGCTTCTATTAATATATCTTTGTAGCTTTTGACGTCACCGCCGTTCTTGGCTGACGTAGTAGAAGAAGCATCCATCCCGGGTCTTTCCTCGTCATCATCCGGGTCTTTTCACATTACATGAAGCAGCTATCTATCACTTCCACCTGGTTACAGCGTCACTTTGTTTCACTGACACCAACACCACCGTGGAACTAAATACAGCATGAACTAAAGTGACATGGTGTCACGAACACAATATGGACATAAAACATATAAACATACCTCGCTGACTGACCCTTCCTCTCGAGTTACAAATGAGGTTATTAAATCAATTCTTAAACCTCAATGACCTTTCTACAGTCACTTGCTAAAGCTACGCTAACATATCACAAGCGTCTCTGGTTACCTAGCAACATGCTAGATTCCACTTCCTATTTTGACCTTTCAGAATAAGAGTCGTGATAAAATATATAAAGAATACAAAATAAAACATGTAAACTAAAACTATGGCAGTGAAAGCAGCATTTATGTGATTAATATATTTGTGCTATGCTGAATTACCCTGTTTTAACTCTCAATCGCAAGAACCATTTCAGTTCCCTGTCAATTCTCGGACAGGGAACTGAAATACTATAAAATACAATAGGTTAAAATATAATATGCCTGGAGGTTTTGCAACTGCTTTTCAAATCAGTAGCAATGTTTTTGTTTTGTTTTTTCCTATGGTGTGAAACGCTGAAGCTGCATCAGAGTGCATCTGTTCTGCTGAAGTACTTCTTGGATTAAAAAAACTCAAACAAACAAAAATAAACCTCAACATTCAGGGACAATTAAAAACTGTTTATTTTTGGTATTCCTCAAAATTGTACCAATAAAACAGAACTTAACAGAAGTAAAAAGACAACACAGGAAAACTGCTGAATGTTAAAGTTGCTAAACACAACAAACCTTAACTTTAGAGCGAATGCACAACAAAAATTTTACTGTGGGAAAAGTTTGCCAATCACCGCGGTGCCGCGAAAAATTATTTGTATTTAAAGATTTCTTCCTTTTTTTCCCCTCTCTTTTTAAAAAAAAAAATCACTTTTTCATGTTTCAGATCATCAAATAGTTTAACAAAAAGCAAAGATAACCTTATCAAGAAGAAAATAGTTTTCAAATTATTTGATTTGTTAGGGGAAAAAATGTATTCAAACCTACCAGAGCTTCTGCGATTATGCGTGTGAATAAGAGATTAGAGATCGCTCTGATGCTCCAAATCCTCGCCCTTGTTTTCTCCCACCAGCAGGGATGTGTGCATACTTAGTGCCATTTCTTTAATATAACAAACTACAGTATCATTGTTGCACTCAAAGGGAAGATTATTGTTTGTTTATAAAATATCTTTCAAATCACTGAGATTTTGTATTTTTGTATGTGTTTGTGTGTTTTAAGATTTTCCAAGATGTCCTTTTGTAATGTTTGTAAAAATGTTACAATTGTTGAGGCGGTTGATTTGAATTTTGTGTTTTGATTTTGTTTGTATCTAAAAAAAAAAAGTATGATTTTATTGTCATGTTTGTGGAAGAATGGACTTCACTATGATACTAACTGGGACCCTCAAATAAACAAACTCGTTAAATAAGAATAAAAAATAAGGTATCTTTGTCTTGCTAAGGACTTTTCATGTCATCCAGGCTTATTATTATTAAATGCAACTAGTTATTCTGATGACTTAAAAGGAATTTCAGAATTTTGTATCTGAACCGAAATAATTAAGATAAATTAAATACATCGTTAACTCTCTCTCTCTCTATGTTTGAGAGAGAGAGCTAAAAGTTTATAATTTTAGCAAATATAAATATCTTTATAACTGTAAAAACAAAAAAAAAACCTTACATTTTCACCAAGTTGCTCCTTCTATAAAGTCATTCTCTTCATAAAACACGGGCCTGTCACTTTTTCTGAGCGTGGGTGCCGAGGTGGGATTTGAGATGGCCGCTCTGCAGGAAGCCCCTCCCACAGACGTCACACCTGTACGGTCTCTCTCCCGTGTGGCTCCTCATGTGCTTCTTCAGGTGGCCGCTGTGGGTGAAGCTCTTGCAGCACAGCGAGCAGCGGAAGGGCTTCTCGCCCGTGTGGATCCTCATGTGGATCTTCAAGTCCCCCTTGCGTCGGCACTCTTTGCCGCAAACGTGGCAGCGGTGCAGCTTGAGCCCTGCGTGGCCCGCCATGTGCTCCTTCAGCGAGGTCGTGCTCCTGAACAGCTTGCCGCACAGGGGGCAGCACTTGGAGCTCTCGTGGGACCTGCGGTGCACGTCGAGGCTCTCGGCGGACTCGAAGGTCCTGCCGCACACGGCGCACAGGACGCCGACGTCCCTGGAGTGGGCTTGGAAGGCGTGGTTCATCAGGAGGTGGCTGGAGGGGAAGGAGTCGCTGCACAAAGAGCACCGGTAGTCGGCTCGGGGTGAGTTCAGGTGGGGTGAATCTGAGTCTCTAGGCAGGACGAAGCTAGACTGGCCCTGTTCCATTAGTCCAGGTGGACAAGCAGTCGCAGCGTCATCTTGTGGAGGATGTTTGACATCTGCCAGCATCACTTCCTGGGGCTCCTGAAACTCGTCGGGTTCGGAGTTTTGAGTCCAACGATGCCTGGGTGGTTTTGCATCTTCCTGCTCAACAGAAGCCTGTGGAAGACTTAAGGTGTCTTCATCAACGCCTGGCTGGTGTGGCTCCTCCTGATCAGCAGCCCAGAGCTGGTCGTGGTCTTCCTCTTTAATGTGGTGAAGCTCCGGAATCCACTGGGTTCCCTCGCGGAGTCCGGTCTCGCAAGGACTTTGGTCTTTGGTCTGAGGAACGTCTGAAAGAGAAAAGAAACCTTTTAGTTTCAAGTCCTCAATTTACAATCAACGCAATCATTCTGAAAATATCAACCAGAAAACAAGGAATGTAGCAGCATATTCATATCCACTGACACATTTGTTCATTTGATGGTAAAACTTTATAAATGTAAGTAATAACCTTGACAATAAACATATGACAGCTATTTCTACACTGGTGCATATCCATGGACAGGTAAATTAATGGATTGACGGTGGTTTATAGGGAATCTCTGGCTCAATAGGGTTGAGAAGTTGTCTTTAAATCAAAGTTTTGGGTTTGATTCTTCTTGCCACGTGTTGCAAATACCCTGAGCTTTGCATTTATATCCAGGTTTGCCAACTGACCTGGGCGGCTGGGTGGATGTGTAAAACCTTTAAGCAATGGACTCGAACCTGGAATTTCAAAAACCTTCCTTTGTTTTTGTTTTTTTTTATCCAAGCATGGAAAATACCCCAACCAAATCCCACAGATTCCTATCTGCACGAAAACCCTGCAAATAAAACGGGTGAACCAGTATTTGAGAATAAAACGTCAGAGCAGATTTAAAGAAAAAGAGTAGGAAACCCAGCAGGAAACCAGGTGGCTGTTCTACCACCTGGTCATGATGTGAAACAGGAAGCTTCACATCCTGAGGTACAGATGAGAGTCCCAACCATCAGGATCTGTGACCCATCAATTCTTTCTCCCTGTGCCACATATAACTTAATATACAGACATGATGATGAAAATATGTACATATTTCTTATTTAAAACTAAACACATTAGAAAATAACTCTAAAATCTCATGACTGTGGCCCGAGACATGCATCTACTGCTGCTGCTGAGATGTAGTAGAATAATGATCAAAATAATATTTCAAACACGAGGAGTTAAAGAGACAGTGTTGTACTATTTGTTTGGTTGTATAAATGGACTGAAGGGCTGGAATGATCCCAGTAACAGCCTAGAATCGTGCAATAAGCAGCATTTTGGGTCAGGAGCGGTGGACACACCTGTCCTCTGACTCTGCAGCTCCAGCAGCAGAGCTTGTAGCCGATCGATCTCCTGCTTGGAGTTGGACGCCTCTTCTTCGTATTTGGCGATCGCTCCTTCGAAAACCTCCAGGATTTCTCCGAGCACCGCCGTCAGCCGCTCGTTCACGAAGGCCCTGAGCAGCAGCGGAGACATTCTGACCAATGTGTTTGTTGAATAAATGAAAAAAATAACCTAAACGACCCCGTGTGGAGGTTAATCATAAAGCTGCTAGGGAGCGGAGGAAGGGGCTCTTTTCTTCGTTGATGTTTGACCTGAGCGGCTTACGTCTGCAGCGTGTCTCTATCGCCCTCTGCTGGATGAACTAGAAATTTACACCGTTCCCTCTCAGGTCGCTTTGAGTGAACAGATCCGACCAGAGGCAACAAAATAGCAGACTGAACAGTCTGTGCAGTTTATAAATCTTTTTTTTTTTTTTTTGCTGAGATATGATTTGTACAATTTCTCTGGCCTTCTGATCATTGGTTATAGCTCACCTGTTTTCATTTTCAGCCCAAATGTCTTAACAAATGACTCATTTAATGGCACATCATCAGATGTTTGTCGGTTTATCTATTTTGCATTCGTGTGAATTTTCTATTTTTTAATTTCTCTATTAAAAAATAAAGAAAAATATAGATATCAGTCATTTGATACTGATACTAGTATCAAATGAATGATATCCCCTGAACATTTTCTCATTTTTTGCCATTACAAATAGAAACCTCAATGTATTTATCAAGGTTTTTTTTTTTTTTTTTTTTTTTTTTTGTATAGACTTAAAGAAAGTAGCGCACAGGTGTAGAACTGAGTGAAAAATGAAACATGAGTTTATTTTTATGACTGAGATTTTAAAAGCGTGGAATACATTTTCATTTAAAGCCATATTAGTCCACATGGACCAACAGCTGGTACTCGTAGAAACCACATTTGCTTTAATAACAACTCCAATCTCTACACCAGCTTTGCACTTCTAAAGTTATCTGAAATTCACGCAAAAATAGCCAAACAGTTAAAGGGAGATTCTATAACCATAAAATTGAACAACTCACAGCATCCAACTACAGTTGCACAGAAATGGTTTGAAGACAACATGATGGACATTCTGTTTGCCCCTGTCAAAGCCCAGACCTCAATCTGATGTGGAAATTGTGACAGGACTCCTTAATATTTATGCAAACACATCTTTTATGATAGTTTTAGAATTATCTTTATTTTGTAAAAAAAAAAAAAAACAACAAAAAACATATTTTTACTTTGACAGTAAAGTAGTTTTCCTGGTCCAAAATTTATTTTCTTAACCACATATGATTTATAAAAGCAATGAATAGAGTTTAAGATCTGAGGGGTGGAATACGTTTTATAGATAAAATCAGATAATAATTGTACATAATCGCTTGCATGATGTACAAAAGCATTTGCAACTTGCAGAAAGGAATGAGAGATTGATATCTGGATGTGCAAAAGTAACATTGTGATTTGTAGAGTGAACAAGTAACTTTCAGAATTGCAATTCCATTCTGAGAAAGTGACTGAGAAAAAAGAAGTAAAACCATTTATTACTTTAATCCCGGTTCACTGCTTTTCGGTCTGTCACATAAATCTACGATGAAAAAAAATAAATCAAAGCAGAAAGTGAAACCCTGGTGTTCAAAAGAAAAACAATTCTCACACTCTGGTGTCCTTTGATGCAAACCATTTGGTGGGAACGCAGGATCCCTGGAGTCTGCATGTTCTGACACGGGCACATCCTTCTGACTCCCTTCAGTCAGTGAGGTCACTGTGGAAACGTGACATTAGTCTACTAATGCAGAGCCAAGTCGTGACCCCACTGCTCACCGCTTCCTCTCGTCTCCCCAGCAGACCATCTGTCCCACGCTGAGGACAGGCGTGACAGTGTGATCTCCATCTGCAGCAAGAAACAGATAGATAGATAGATAGATAGATAGATAGATAGATAGATAGATAGATAGATAGATAGATAGATAGATAGATAGATAGATAGATAGATAGATAGATAGATAGATAGATAGATAGATAGATAGATAGATAGATAGATAGATAGATAGATAGATAGATAGATAGATAGATAGATAGATAGATAGATAGATAGATAGATAGATAGATAGATATTAAAATGTTCTGCATCATTAAAATTGATGTGAAATATATATAATTTTTATATCCACTAGAGGGAGACAGATTGCCATCATTCAACGTAACAAACAGTGATGACGCTGTCATTTCCTCTGTAGCTAAATAAATGCAACCGTGTCATTGTTTTCTATTTATGTCATTGTGTAGTGTTGAAATAGAATTTTAAAGTAGCACAATAGTACACAGGTTAACTTTTACGTTAAGACAAACTTAGATAAAGATCCAGGCTGGGGCAGCTGGTGATTCTCTGAAACTTACATAAATTTCTAATCAGAAAGCAGTCTTATACTCCCTAAGGAGCGTTTCAGACAGGGAGTGTATTGGCTATCAGGGCAATAAATTCTTTACTCAGGGTTGAATAGTTCAGGCAAACATTAAACACTATAGAAGTCCGTTACAACATATAATCAAACATATTAATATATTTCTTTAAGCATGTTTTTAATTAGTTAGTTTTAGATCCAAACTTATAGTTAGTATTAAGCAATAGATTTTGTGCGAATTTGTGTTAAAAATACCAACTGGTTTCTTGTTGAATCATTTTGAGGCAGAGATAACGCTGCACGCTGCACGTCATATATCACGGTCTGGCCAGGAGGCTGGTACGAGAAGAGCTGGGTGTTTCAGTAGGCCCCAGAGGTACTAAAATTAACATTAAGACAGCCCACACAAAGAAAAAACACACCTCCTAATGCATATAGGCTATTTAAATTTAGAGAAAGGCACAGGCTTATAAAAGTTTTCGTTTGCAACAAAGAATTCGAATTGCTTTCTGCCCGAGTTCGCAATTTCCAGAAAAATGCATTTTCTGTCTGTACTTTCTGTCTGTACTTTCTTTCAACTCGTGCAACTGTTTCTGTTTTGTCATGTCTTGGACTTTTGGATTCCTGGGTGAGATGCTTATTGTGACATTCTTCTTGCATTGATTTTCTCTGGATAAAACTCTGAATATCCGAAGTCTGATGTCGTATGATTGCTCTTTCTCCCTGCGCATATTGAGGCTCAAGAATCCGGGATCAGAGGAACGAATTAACGAGCTAAATCAAGTTATTCCTCTTTTAATTCTTAACAGTAACTTTTAATAGAACTCAACAACTGTGAACTTCTTTAACTGTTTTTTTTTATGTTCTCACATCTAGTTCCGCTTCTTCTGCTGGTTGTTTGCTGAGATGAACATTCACGTGGGACAACAAAACCCTCCGCGCTCAATTTGTTTATCTGGATCTATTTTAATTCACATAAACAGGATGAATAGGAAGATTTGGAACGAATCATTAAATGACACGTAACCAAAACCAACAGAAAGCGATATACTGCTGCAAATATCACAAAGAAACAAAAGACAACAAAGACTTTGTGATCAATTGTGAATATTGACAATGGGTTTAAACATATCCTAAAAGTTACTAACACATATGGTTAATCATAGAAGTAGAACAGATGATTCACTTGGTTCATCTATTTTTTTTTAAATTATTTTATTTTTGTTCTTGTTTTTTTTAAGACAAGCAGCTTCTTGGTTACTTTAAAACAGCAACCCAAAGGTGTTTGTTTGTAGCTTCTCCGTTTAAATTTCAGGAGTTTAAATTCTGGAATTCGAGCGGTCGCGCATGTGCAGAGAGCGTCGCTCCGCAGCTCCTAACGTCGCGGTGGGCTGAGAGCTGGGCTGAGAGCTCCCTCCCGCTTCTCCGTCTTTTGGGCGACAGAAGCAGCAGGCAGCTGCTCGGCGCACAACGCAGCCTCTCGGCCGGGGGAGAAACCCAGCAGAAATGTCTCAAAGTGGGAGTCAGGAAGCCGCCGAGGCCTCGGACGGCAACAGCAGCCAGCGGACACTACCGAGACCGCCCGTTGGCAACCGAGTGACCGTGGTGCTCGGGGCTCAGTGGGGAGACGAGGGGAAAGGGAAAGTTGTGGATCTCCTGGCTCAAGACGCGGACATGGTGTGCAGATGTCAGGTAGGTGAGCCCTCGGGCTACAAAGAGCCAGCTGTTACCGGGTAAATGCCCCCGCAGGTAACCGTTGGTCGCTAGCTAAACGGCGCTTCTTCCCCTCACGTCAGAGTCACGCTGCTTTCATGGCACCTCGTTTAATTAGTGGAAGCCAAGCGGAAATAAAAAAAACCCCGCTCTTTGACAGCTCCCGACTTCCAGTGTGGGAGTTTCTGACAGTTTCTCCCGCTCAGTGATGACAGGAGTTCCGCGACACATTTATACGTCAGGTGTTTTCTGAGAGTTAGCATTAAGCTAAGCACTGTGAGAGTCAGAGCGATATGTTGACATTTTCTCCAGTTTTGCAGACATTTCTTGAATGCAGCGTTGGTTTTAACAGGCTAAGCAATATCAGACGGAGTTGCTCTGTGTTTGCTAAAGTCACCTTGAATTCTTGCTAGCTGCTTAGCTCTTTAAATGACTGTAATGTGGATGTATTGTTGTTAATGGTAGTTATTGGTAAATATAGCAGCCAAAAGGTTCACAGTCTGTTTTATGTTTTAGCTACAACGAACGTTTAGTTGTTTAGTTAACTAAAGGCCAGAGCAACACCTTCTTCCGAGACTCCCAATACCATTAGGATTATAGAGGATTATTATAACACACGATTGCTATTCAAAAGTCTTTAGTGTTTTAGAAATAGAGAGATCTTTTGCTAAGAAATATAACCCTGACATTTTTAAATATTATAGAAGAAAAATATTGTAGAGGTTATGGAGTTAATTGAATAGTTCCACTTTTCATTTCAAGAGTTTCAAACTTGCATACTGTGTCAAGGTAACATTATCAGCCTTAGGTGGAAACAACAAAATGTGTGATTTAAAAACAACACGATTCTACAGAATTCGACAGCAAACTTGCTCTGTTATAGAAATAAATAAATACAAATCTTGCATACAATTTTGCTGATATTAAAGTGACGGTATAGAACTTTTACTAAAACTTTTACATATTAAAATGATTACGATGTCATGACAGTATAAAATAAGAGTTATGTGGAAAAAACTGAGCCTCTCAGCCTTATCCCTATGGACCTGCTGTCATCTGAACAAATTCACAGCTCTGGCAGAAACAACCGATCAGAGCCAGGAGGAGAGTCTTAACGC